GTATCAGTGTGCCTCACTTGTTTTTCCCATTTTGTTTTTATGGGTGTTACAAATCAGGTATTCGTCCCTGTGTATCAGGCGTTCTTTAATCAGGATTGTTCTATTTATTTTGTAAACAGATATTCATGTTGTTTTTCATTTACAGAGAATTAATTGTATGCATCAATGTAAATTACACAGAATTCTGACCTTTTAATGTAAAAAAAAAACTTCAAAACTTGAAGTGCCATTAATGTTTAAATTTTCTTGAACACATTTAAGGATTGAGATCAAATGTCTCATAATTTTCATTCATTTCTAGAATATTTCCAGTCTTTTTTGTGACGCCTCGGGAGCTGTTTGTAGTTATCTGCACATCTGTTTTGATCCAGAGTGACTCAGCTCAAAGTAGTGCACATCCAACCACAGGAAACTTTGTCAGGCACCAGAACAGACCTCAGAAGCATCTGCACAAGTTGTTGAGATTCTAGTTGTTCTTTAGTGCCTAAATTGCACACAACATCACATCAAAGGTGTATGACCTTTTATCTTTAAATGCAGCATCAAATAAATACATTTACAATGTTAGTTTTGCTCATCATTTGGATGCTTTGTACTCTGGATTTGTTAGACTCTGTAAGTATTGTCTTGAAAACTAAATGAAAAAGTGTGTTTATTTGTATGTTGAACTGACGGTAGTCATTCAGTGTGTTGTGTGTTTAGGCTCCTGACGAATGCCAAGATGAGATACAGCATCTTCAGTCGGAGTTGACGAGTTTGGAACTTCGCCATACAAAGCAACAGCAACTTATTCAATGATTAATGAATCTCAACCAGATAGATGAACGTTCCCTAAAAGCAGGCTCATTTTATGACATGGGAGACAAACAGTACATGGGTCAAGGCTCTATATTATTTTATTAAGATGTGGTATTCATTGTGTAAATGTTATACTTGTCTGAATATAACAGCACAGTGTAGTACTCACAAAAATCAATCTGCCATAAACAGACTGTGCTCAGATCTTCAAAAAATGGCAGCACGCAGAGTGGATTTTACATGATTAAACCACTGCTAAGTCCAACCCGGATGAGAGTGTACTGTGATATGACAGATGGACAGTCTTCCAGAGACGCTCAGATTGGAAGTCAGTCATTTGACAGGTAAAGAAAACTATTGTTGTGAGAAGAGATGCATACTGATAAATGAATGAAACATGATTTTTTGATTTTCATTTTTAGAGATTGGAATGATTATGATTATGATAATGATTGAATGGAGAGTTCTGGTTAGGAAATGATAATGTGCATTATATGACAACTCAAGGTGAGTAAATCTATATATCTAAAATGCATACAAACTGAAATAGATATGTCAGGATTTGCCATAATTTATATTATATTATATTATTATATGCGACCCTACATAGGACAAGCGGTTTAAAGAATGGATTGATACTATGTAATATTATTTTATATTTTATTTTATTTTTAATAAAACACCTTCTGTTACGCAGATGATTACACCCTGAGAATCAATCTGAAAGACTTTGAGGGCAGCCACCGTTTTGCAGTGTACAGAACATTTAAAGTGGATAATGAACAGGTCTTTTTAATAATCTCTTTATATTGTGATAAATGATGTGTGGATTAATATACAGAGCCCATTATGAGCCAACAGGTGGCATGTGAAGTTTCTAAACGATCATTACAGCAGGTTAATATATAATATGTTCTATTTTCATTAAGAATAAAAAGAAGGGGTTGCACAGTATCACAATTCATAAACTTCACATGACCTGAATGGTATAGTATCTTTGCACTGTTTATTTGGTTGATGTTTTAACGATCCCATTTGTCTTCTCAGAACCATTACCAGCTCCAGTTTGGCGTATACACAGGAAGCGCAGGGGACGCTCTCTCTGGCAGTTATCATCCTGAGGTTCAGTGGTGGGCCAGCCATCAAGGAATGAAGTTCAGCACACGAGACAGAGATAATGACCGCTATGATCGCAGTTGTGATCAGGAGGACAAGGGTGGCTGGTGGTTTAACCGGTTTGCACCTTAACAATGACAGAGCTTTTCACATTACAGTAATAATGACAATTACAATATGTACAAAGGCAGTTCTTCTCCGTTCATACAGCTGCCCTATAGCAGAGTAACCACTGGTGTAGTTCATTACTTTAACTATGAATATTTGACAACCAAAAGGTGTCCATGTTTTGTATGTTGTTTCACCTGTATTCCTCTACTAGATGTCACTCTGCCGATCTGAATGGATTCTACCACAGAGGCCCCTACAGCGCAGTCACTGATGACAGAATAGTGTGGTACCCATGGCATGGCTGGTGGTACTCCCTCAAATCTGTGCAGACGAAGATCAGACCTGCCAGTTTTGAGCCTAATGATGTTTAATTCATGGATCTGATATCTGAACCATGAAATTATGAATTTGTGGATGGTGACAAATGACATTGTAGTCCAGCTTAGTAGTCCAATTCTTAACTTTTTACATATGTAGTTAAAAATCTCTTCTCCTGAATGTAGCGCAATAAAGTTTTCAACACATCCTTGCTGCATCCTTGTGTTTTCAATCCTAGTATCTTTAATTTGATGAACTTCCTAGTTGGTAAATGATTAATGATTAATTTTAAAAATTAAGAAATAAATTAAAATGAAAGAGGAAATGTTTATTTAAAATTGCATTTAAAATGATGAATATAGAATTTAGCTGACAAAACAAAAAGTGTAACTATAAATTCTGAGACGTTTTCTTTGCTTTAAACAACAATATCTGTAAGGCTAATGGAGCAAATAATTAACATCCAGTAGTAAATCTATAATTCAAAGTTCTACAGAAAGTGCAAACACCATCAATATCAGGGTATTTAGAAATCTAACAGAGCTGTTTTAATGTACTAAATACAATTTATTAGAAAAATAACACATTTAATTCAACTATTTAAAGTAGAAAGACTAGTACTTCCTTGTAAAACATACTCCAACAATCTTTATTTACAACTTTGAAAAATATTTTAGAGTGTCAAATGTATAGGGGTTGAAGTTTAAGTTAAAGTCTATAATAAAAAAAAAAACATGAACATGAAATAGTAGATTTTTTATAGTAAAATAATAATAATTATTATTATTATTAGCCTATTATTAAGATAATATATATAGTGGTGTTTTTAAAATTTACAACCAACATTTTTTTTTAGCATTTGTTATTATAATATGTTATCTTTAACTTAAACTTAAATCCCTATAGATATATGACCGTGAACTGTAGCGGCTCGTGACTTTCCTGCAGTGACGTAATTTAAGGAGT